ATCATCAAAAGATTCCTTTACTTTTCTTGAAGAATTAAAATTACACAATTTCAGTAATAATTTTTTAATTTCTTTTGATGTTGAAAGTTTATTCACTAATATTCCATTGGAAAAGACCATTGAATTAGCAGTTTCTAAAATTGTTCAAAGGGATGCAAAATTACTTGTTCGGGTGTGAAATCATTCTATCAAATTTTTGCTGTAGGTGTATTTTTGTTAGGTGCACTTTTGCTGTATTTCGAGATCTCGTGTAATGACTAATATTACTCAATATTAGTCATAAATTTTAGTAATAACTAAAATGGCTCTTTAAGTTCAATAAAAATTGAATAAAAATTGAGTTTGCATTGCCATTCTGATTGGTAAACAAATAATAGTGATTTTTCTGAATCATTTTCAGTAAACTTCAAATCATCTTCTTCTTCATTAATGTCTTCATTTTTATGTATTTTGTCTGCTATGTTATTTAATGTGTAGTTGTTTTTAGGTCGCAAAAAAATATTTACTGATGGATCCTCATTTTGCCACGTTTTTATTTTAACATGAAGGCATTCCTGGTCAATAAAAGAAAGTTGTAATTTCTTTCGTGCTTGTACCATATGCGATCGAATAATGTTGTTGGTAGGGAAAAATCACCTATTTCTTAAATCAGGCATAGATGTTTTATCAAACATGTCATTTTTAACAAAGATTTTTAGTAGGCGTTTCATTTCGTGTATACTTTTTACTTCATTGGCATAATCTATTATTTTTTTAGATAATCTAGGATCAATTTCCTGTGAAATACCAGCAAGCTAAAAAATTAAAAATAATTTTTATTTTTAATTTTTGAAAAGGATTTCAACCAGCCAACAACAGTAGCCGAGTCACACTTTATGGTAATACATTCGAATCCCTATTTTGTTGGTAGATTGATTCCTTTTATCACAGCTTCTAACTCTGCGAGGTTAATGTGAGCCGCATCATCTTGTTTTCTCAGCCACGAGTAGTCTTCTACTATTTCCCTAACCACTTCCAGAACTATGCCAACAGCTAAACTGCTTGCATCGCACCACACTGTTACTTCAGAAGTGTTTTTTACGTTCCATGACCCATGAACCGGATCTTCCTTTGTAAGTCTTTCATTTAAACTGCTTACTAATTTGACAACACCATTGTTCACCAAAGTGTCCCATCCACAACTACTCGAAACCCTTTTTAGATAGCTGCACAAAGGCGCAACCAATTTGCTATTGGAAAATGTCCAGTCAGCTGTCCGCACCAAGAAAAGACTTGCGGACGCGTCATTTTTCCATCAGGAACTTTGAGTATGTTGTCACGTTTCCAGCGCACTTGGTTGCATTGTTTGTACACTCGCAATCCAAGCACACGCCCACCAACAAGTTTTTCTGGCAGCTTAGAATCCAAGCCATATTTTTTCAAGAGTTCTTGAACTCTGCAACTCGACATTATGTTATTATTGACAATGATGTCATCAATAAATGAATCTGTCCCAGACAACATAATGGTATAAAATACAAAAACATTGATACGCAAGGAAAATAGGTTGATAAATAAAAGTTCCAGCGATGCCCAATACATAAACATGCTATTTTATTTGTAAAATTATGATTTAATAATTTATAATTAATGTTTATTATAATAATTTATCAAAATGTTTATTATAATAATTTATAATAAACATTTTGAACACTTTAATTTTCACATCAACCTCAACTGCAATACAGTGGTATACCACTAATGATAATACTTGGTGTATTTTAATTGACATATTAAACAATATTATCCATGCAAAATATCATCTTACAATTTGGTAAGTATAGTAACTATATTAACTAAAGTATACTATACTATAATACTTAACTTATACCCAACAGCTACATGACTTTAAAAGTGAATAGCTAAATATTTATCAAAAATTCTTTTTGAAAAAAAAAAAAATAATTTCTAAATTTTTCAAAACATTTACTTTATAAACAATTTAATAATAAAATTTAACTTACTTCTCTAACAGCATGGTTTCTGTGTTCTGAAATGTCATCAATAATTAGCTTAATTCGCTTCTCAGTGAATCCAATGTCGCTCTTGTTCTTGAGCAAATTTTTTATTTTTAAAGAAATTTTTCTCTTTTTCCATGTGTTGGGTTCAGCAAGGTTTAAAATTATGAAAACGGAAATAAACAAAAAAGAGGTAATTAATGTTACAGTTTATGCAGTGACATGCCCAAAAAAATTATACAGTTTATGCAGTGATATGTCCAAAAAAAAAAAGTTACATGGATAGAAGTATGTTCAAATAAAACATAATAAGCATTACTAAAACTCCGGTCTAGACCTGCATTTAAATAAATTACATCTCAATTTTGTCTTATTAAAACAACGCTGCGAGTGTGTTTTACTTATATGGCTTTGCACTCTTTTTGCGTTGAATTAAAAGTAGTTCTAATATTGGCGTGAATTATAAATTACAAAACATGTTTAAAATGCTATTCTTAAAATTTTTTTAATGTTGGTGCATTATATATAGTACCAAAAATTCTTATTATCTTAGTAAATCACTTTAAAATTACCATGTAATCCTTGAAGTATATAATTTCCTTCAAAATAACTTGGGCTGGGCATTCAAATTTTTTTGTGTCCTGCACATTAATATAACTCCTCATACAAGAGTGTTCAGTTATCTAAAATTATAAAATAAGTACATTAATAACAGTTATTTATTAATGATTAATTTATTATTTGTATCTTTTTTTATTGATAATAAAATTTACCTTTGTTTTTGTCTTATTCTTGTATGCTTTCTTTGCTGCATCATTACGATCTATTCCATGTGAGCAATCCAAAACCTTGCGTGCTAAAACCATAAATGGAACATTTGCATAGCATCCTTCACTTTCCCATAACACTTTGTGCTTTTTACTATGAACATCTAGATATAACACAATTTATTTTACACAAATACATAGCGAACTGTGTACTCTAATTCATGTTGTTTTATGAAACAAAAGGCCTCATTTTCATCATTATAAATAAATGTATGGCTTTTTCTGTTAGCTATAAACAACAATATAAATAACTTTACAATTTAAAAGCATTGAGGCTGGTTAGTAAATATGGTCTAAAACTAAATGCTAGTAAATAAATGGGCATACATTTTACAAACTTTTAATAAAATTACTTGAGTATCACTGAAAAATTTATATATTAACATATTTTTTGGAAAATGTTGGAAAAGGAAAAAGTATAACTTTGTGAATTTACCAAGCTTGGTAAATTCACAAAGTTATACTTTTTCCTTTTCCAACATTTTTCAAAAAATATGTTAGTATATAATTTTTTTTTTGTCTTTTAATATATAATATATATTATATAATAATATATAATAATATATAAATTTTAATATATAAATTTTTTAATATATAAGTTAATATATAAATTTTTTTTTGTCCAAGTATCTTGGTCAGGTACTTGCAAGTACCTGACCAAGATACTTGGTATTAAAATTGAAAATAATTTGAACTTTACTATACCCATTATTTGTCCTGCAGCTAAAATAGCTAAGATGAAAGTTTATTTTATAACTTGTATTATATAATAACTGACTGGGGGGAGAAAAAAAAATTTTTTACACAACTATTGCACATCATTTTGAATAGAGTGCTCCATTTTTTTCTGAAATTCTCAGATGATCATCGTAGCTTTTTTTGTAAATTACATTCTCTTATATTAATTTCTTTTTCATATGAAAAAGAAAATAATATAAAAGAATTTAATTTACAAAAAAAGCTACGATAGCTATCTTTTTTAGTCACTGGCACAAATGTAGTAAAAATTGATTCATTCCATTATAATAATTTTATTACCTTAACCAATGTTATCCCGAATCAAAAAATTTATAATCTTTTATATTTTTAAATCTATTTTATAAAAATATTATTTTCGAATGATATAATTATTATAACATGTAAACTTACTATTATCTTTATTTTCATCCATTTAAAGTTTATAAAACATAAAGCACGTGGAAATAACGAATGAAAACAAATACGCAACGTAATTTAACATTACCATGACGTAACAAATAAAATTCGCATAATTAAAAAACACATCCTGACGCATACTATCTTCTGCTTACCCGAAAATCAATGGTTTTTTAATTATTTCTTTCTGAAGCTCAGCTACTGCAACTTAATTTTTTTAATGTTTGATATTTTAAATTTTTTCCAAACCAAAGCGATTTGTTTCAGAGATAACTGATAAAACATTGTTTTATAAATTTTGTTGTTGAAATTAGGGTTTTCAACAAAAACTTTTAAATCAAATGGTAAAATATTGTTCTTAAAATTTTTTATTTTGTAATCAGCTATGTTATAATGAAACGAATTTTCTGTATCTGAAAGTAAATATTTTTGTTTTCATCAGTTTATTGTTCTTCCTTTAAACTTAATTTTGGAGATCGATTTTTTTTTTTTTCGCTAATTTTTTATTTATTTTACATAACTGTTATATTTAGATATTTTGTAAACATGGACCATTTAACCAAGTTAAGTCTCATTTGCCGAATTTGTGGAGAACATATAACAAAAGACTCAGTTGATGTGTGTAAATATTCTGAAAGAATTGGAAATACTTTTTATATAAACACCACCATAGACAATAAAAATATTCACCCACAAAAAATGTGTAGGAGGTGCTATATCATTATGAGGAACATTGAAAAAGGTTCTAGCACAAGTCTTAAAGTAGTAAAACGGCCATCACCATGTCCAGACAAGTGTTCCTGTTTCTCCAAAGTTTCTGGAAGGAAAGTTAAAAAATGTAAAGCTGGTCGGCCATGTATAATAGAACAAAATCAGAAGAGATGGACCAGGCCAATCATTAATAACTTAATTGCTAGTATACCAAAACAAACATTGCATTTAAATGCAATTGATATTGATCCTGTAGCAAATCCCCATTTAGACTTATGTATATGCCAGTTATGCAACAACATTATGTAAAAGCCACTAATATTAAAAGAGTGTCAGCATTCTTTTTGCTCAGAGTGTTTATTCAGAGAGATTGAAGGAAAGCTGGAAACAGAAGCAAAATGCTTTATTTGTAATCGACACATTCCATTATATACAATTTTAAATTCTGTTAATGTAACACTATTGATAGAGCACATTCTTTTAGGTTGCAATAAGAAATGTAAATTAAAATTTGCAGTTAAAGACAATGACCTTAAAAAATTACACGAAGAAATTTGTATTGGTGAACAGCTATTACCAACTATGATTTGCAAAAAAATTCATGATGGACTTGATACAACTCTAGCTGATGTATTTTTATTAAAAGAAAATGATGCTATACCACGGATTGTAGAAGATGCTGCGTTACATGTTATAAAGCAAAAGCTAGTTACCTCTGAATCAAATTTGTTTGCATTTCCTTCCGGAGGACCAAGGGTAAGCACATTTTTAATATGTAGCAAAAGAAAATGAACTATATTATGTTTTGTTATAATTATTAAAACTTTTTTCTAGCCTTTACATTTTACTTCCAACTCAATAGCATATAAAGAGAGCTCAGATGTTAGTAAAAGGACAATTAAGAAAAGACAAAAAGCCGTTATAAATTCTTTAAATGTGATCTCTGGTATGTCCAGCACATCACAACTTCAGCAAACTTCTGCTATTTTGAATTCATTTGAAGTAAAAGATCAAGTAAAAATATTAATGATGTCAGACATACCTTTATCAGTTATAAGTGCTGAAGAAATGATTAGTATGAAAGCTCATATGGGAATAACATATTCAAACATGAAGATACTTGCAAGGTAAATTATATATATATATATATATATATATATATATATATATATATATATATATATATATATATATATATATATATATATATATATATACATATATATATATATATATATATATATATATATTTTTTTTTTTTTTTTTTTTAAACATCTTCACTTCCAACAAGGCTGCAAGCAACCACTATAAGAGTTGGAAGTTACTGGAAGAGAAAAGACTAAATCTGTAGAGCAAGATAACGATTGACTGATGACTTAAAAGATTGCAAATTATATGAATCAGGAAAGCAAGATGAAGGAAGCGAATTCCAAAGAACTGATGTTCGAGGAAAAAAACTAGAAGAATAAGAGTTTTTGAAGCACTTAGGAACAGTCACAGAAAAAGGATGAGACTTAATTGAATGGCGAGTAACACGAGAATGAATTTTAGTAGATGGCACAAGGGACGCTAGCTCTTTAGAGCAGTGCCCATTATAGTATTTGTAGAAAAGAGAAAGAGAAGCAACATTACGACGATGAGACAAAGGTTGGAGATTGGCTGCCAGAGCAGGTCCAACTATGTTTACAATTCGTTTTTGCACCTTGTCTAAAAGAGAAAGAGCATCATTAGAAGATCCGCCCCAGATGTGGCAACAGTATTCCATACAGGGACGGATTTGAGATTTATAGAGATAGAGAATAGAATCTGGAGTAAGAAAGTGTCGAGCTCGATAAAGAGATGCAACCTTAGCAGATGCTAATTTTGCAATGGATTTGATATACGGTTTGAAAGAAAGATCAGAAGTAAGAGTTAATCCTAGAAGATGAATGGTAGATGACTCATCTAGTACATTACCATTCATAAATATAGGAAGATCTAAATTATTACGATAAGGATTGGCCGAATAAAATTGAGTTTTATCTGAATTAAAGTTCACCAGCCACTGTGAGCCCCATGCTGTAGCAGAAGTGAGATCCTTTTCGAGCTCAGATACCCCCTCCAAGCAATCAGAGAGTGTAGGCTTCTTATCATGACAAGAGTAAATGGTAGTGTCGTCAGCGTATAATGCCACCTTAGATGTGAGAATATCTGGAAGATCGTTAATGTAAATTAAAAAGAGTATAGGGCCAAGGATTGAACCTTGAGGAACCCCTGAAGTTACAGGATGTGAAGAAGAGTGTTGTCCATCGAGGACAACTTTTATACTACGATTGGAAAGAAAGGACTCAATAATCTTAAAGATGTTACCAGCTACACCATAAGAAGAAAGCTTATGGAGAAGACCAGCATGCCAAACTTTATCAAAAGCTTTAGAAATGTCAAGTGCGATAGCCTTAACCTCTCCACCTCTATCTAATGCACGGTAAAACCTATCGGTTATTACTGTTAGCACATCAGCTGTAGAACGAGAAGACCGAAATCCATATTGATGATCAGAAAGTAAGTTATTTGATTCAAGATGAGAGATTAAGTGTTTGTTGATTAAAGATTCAAAAACCTTGCTTATGACAGGAAGAAGACTAATGGGACGGTAGTTAGATGAATCAGATCGCTCTCCAGAATTTTTGAAAATAGGGATAACAGATGCTGCTTTCCAGCATGATGGAAAACAAGACTCTGATAAGCACTTGTTAAATAGTTTTGAAAGTATGGATGAAAGCTCCGGAGAACACCTCTGCAAGACTACAACAGGAATGTTGTCAGGACCACAAGCTGTTGAAGAGTCTAAGCAGGAAATTACTTTTGATACAGAAGCTGAAGTGATGCGAATGTCAAGCAAGGGATCAACCTGTTTGACAGCTATGTCAGGTAAAACGCAACTAGTGGAATCGAGAGATGATATTGATGAAAAGTTCTTAGCAAACAATTCAGCTTTGTCTTTAGGTGAGGTGACAAAGTCTGAACCATACAAGAGAGAAGGAATAACAGATTTGCCCTTATTATTGATACTGTTAAAGATTCTCCAGAAGTCTCGAGAGCCTAATTTTTGTGATGAGATACGAGATTTAATGACCTGGGAATAGCGAGCTTTGGCGTCAGACAAAACCTTTTTACAATGGTTTCTGGCGATAGTGAACAGATGTCTGTTTTCTGGAGAATTGTTTTGCTGATAGATATGGAAGTAACAGTTTCGATTAGAAATTGCTGCAGCGCAATGTGAGGAAAACCAAGGAGAAGAGTGAGGCTTGACCTGGAATCGTCGAGAGGGAATAAAAGATTCCATGCCAGCCTGAATCCACGAAGTTATGTATATATATATATATATATATATATATATATATATATATATATATATGTATATATACGAACCTTAATCAAGCTAAAATAAAAGTGTGAATTAATAAAAAATATATATATATTTAAAATTTTATTTAGATGGCTCAAAACCAAAGATATAGAATGTGCATCAAATAAAAAGCAACGGAAAGTAGCTAAATCCTGGTCTGGAGAGGATTGGGTAGTTTGTAATGCTCCTTTTAACTTTCTTTTAAAAGACTCCAGTGATTCATTTGAAGTAAAAAATGCTCCTTGGGGATACATTAAAGATCTTCCATTACATATAATAAACAAACTCAACCTTCTGAAAAGGTATACATAGTATTTTATTTAAATAAGTGTGTATTTAAATGTTGTCATTTTATATATTTTTTATTAATATTTTATTTATATTTTATTTACTTTCTCTAAAAAAAAATTAAATTCATTTAAAATTGAGCAGCAAAAATTTGCTAAAGCATTCCAATATAAAAAATGACGAAATTCACATCAAAATTGGTGGTGACTATGGCGGTGGATCTTTTAAGATGTGTTATCAAATTGTGAATGTTGATAAGCCGAATTCCAGAAGAAACACAAATATTTTTAGTATTTTTGAAGCAAAAGAATACAAACCAAACCTTATTGTGGGTCTCTCAATGTTCACACAACAAATTAATCAATTGCAGTCATTGTGTTGGAAGTAGGTTTTATTTTATCATAATTTTAAAAATGTATTTAGATTAATAGATTTTACTCTATTTTGAAAAAAATTATTTTTAGTGAGAAAAAAATAAGAGTATTTATCTTTGGTGATTACGAGTTTTTATGTTCAGCATATGGAATTACTGGTGCAAATGGTATAAATTCAAATAATAAAATTGTGCAACAAACAAAACCACATAACCACAATATAAAATTATTGAAGTTGATGTTTATATTATTTAGTGACATTTTATGACTTTTGATATCCTATATTTAAACTGATATTATCATATTAGGTCGACATGCTTGCTTGTTTTGTCATATAACTCGTGCAGGTATGAAAAAGTCAGATACTCAACAAAAACACAGTCCTTGTTCCAATCGCACGCTGGAAACACTTGATACAGATCTCCAAAAATTCATTCAAAAAGGTCGAATACCAAAGTTAGCAAAGTATTGTAACAATGTCATTGATTCTCCACTTTTCAATATTCCTTTAACACAAGTATTACACTTTTCTATTATATTACATTTTTACTTGTTTATATAATTGTAAATATTTTTTTATATTGATTTTATGAATCTAGGTTGGCATTCCATTGTTGCATATCTCATTGGGGATTCATCTTAAATTTTTTAATATGCTGGAAGATGGCTGTCATCTCATAGATATAAAAATTGCAGCTAAAATGTGTTTAAAAAATCAGACTGTAAACAACAAGAGTTTTGATGAATATATTGTAATTCAGTTAAGAATATATGAACAAGAAAAAGCTATTGCTGAATATTGTGAAAAAATAACACTTATTCATGAAGCAATGTCAATACAAGTTCTACGTTCTCCTGAAAATAAAGAATATCTATATGAAATCTTTCAGCCCAGAGTAGTTCATTTTATGAAGAAGAAAAATGCTAAGGTATAATAAGATTATATTTGAAATAATGAAATAAAATTTTCTATAATTCTATGTGAATGAAACATAAATCAATCTAAGAGCAAATGCTTATATGTGTGTGTGTTAATGTAAATCTGTTTTTTATATAGATTATTGAATTAAAAGAGTTAAAAACTAAAACATTTGAAAAATCGCATGGACCACTTGTGAAAAAACTTGATGAAGTTCTATGTGGGCTTAATGTTCAAAGACAAGCTTACCACGGAAAATGTTTTATTGGGAATCACGTTCATAAAATGTTAAAGGTATTTCTATACATATTTTTGCATACTTGTAAATATGAATTTTATAAATATTTTCTCAATCACATAGTTTTGTAATGCATAGAGGTACTAATTTTGTAAATCATAAAATTATCTTTTATCTATTAGTTAAACAGTGTCCTAGATCTTTGCAATTCGATACCTAAGACAGTAAGAGATCTTGGATTTATTGATACAGATGTTTTTATAGAGGCAAAAGTCTTGAGTGAGAAATTTGTTGAGTTGTTCTTTAAATACGCAACATGTTACAACTTTATGAATTCAAGTGAAATAATTAATAATAATCCATTATTAGAGTTAGGTAGAAATATATTTTTATTATGTTACTTGTTTTAAAATTCCTCTTGCTTGCATAATTATTCTTTCTTTGTTTTCTATTTACGTTTTCTTATTTATTTATTTATTTTGGATTTAGAAGGAGTCATTGGAGAATTAATGAGTTACTTTCGTAAAACTTGGCCGAATGAGTCCATTACGCCAAAAATGCATTTATTAGAAAGTCATTGTGCTGATTTTATTAGAAATTGGGGTTTGGGTCTCGATATTTATGGAGAGCAAGGTTTAGAAAGCATGCATGCTGAATTCAATAGTATGAACAGCACCTTTTGCCATATGAAAGGGAAGCAAAGACTAGAAAGTATTCTGTCTAATCACTACATCAAAAACTCCCTAGAAGCATTGGAAATTAGACCTACTATTCAAGAAAGAAAATCTTATAAAAGAAAAGCCTCGTGATATTTATTAAATAATTGTATATATGATTGTAATTGCATAACGACTTAATTTTAATGTTTATTGTAAGAAAAAATATATATACTCTTCTTCCGAATATAATAAATATTTAATAAAATAAATAGTTAATCTTTTGGTTACTAGACAAAAACGAATATTTTATTTCATTAGATTAGATAGATGTGTTATTCCTTACGTTTTCTTTGACATCTTGGAAAGTAACCATAGTTACTTACAGAAGTTTTAGGCGGAAAACGTATATTTTTATTTTACAAAAAAAGTTCAAAAAATCTACAAAAAAAAGTAATCGGTTCTTCAAAATTTGACAGAATCTTTAAATACCTTAACTCTTTCTCTTAAACATTTCAGCTTTTCTCAAAAAATTCATTTAAGTACTTATTTATTAAGAATTACTGACTTCCTTAATATTTATAACTAAAGAAACTGCAAAGTTCTAGAAATTATAAAAGTTGGATAAATGTTTTTTTATATATTTTTTTTTCATAAAAACTAGCATAACTTAATATTTATTAAAAAAGAAAAATTTAATTACTTATTTTTATCAAAAAGTATATAAATTAGGTTTATTAAAAAAAGTGTTTTTAAAAGTTTTTTTTGCGTTTCGCATCTTTATTGAATAGTTAAGCAAATAAATATTTGTCAATGCGCATGCCCAGAATAATGTTCCATTACGAAACTGCCGTGATTGCAATAAAAAAGAATTTTAAAAATCTATATGATTTATTTCCTCACACTTGATACCGAATAATCAAGTGTATCAAGATATTATTTAAGAAAACTTCATTATAAGCAAACTTTTTTTGAAAATCTAAAAGCAATCTTCCTATTGCAGCATTGTTAATATTCTATCAGAAAGATTCAAAAAATGTTAAAATGCTTCAGCTTGATAAGTTTCTTTTTCAATTATTTCAATAGTATCAGCAAACACTAAAGTTTACCAAGGCACGGTTTTCAGAACGCACTTTTATATTTTTTTGATAAAAAAGCCTTTTCAGATTTGTTTTGAAAACATTTAAAGTTGAACTCTTAAAATCGAGTTTTAGATGTAATAAACAATATAATCAAAATACCTCGTTCCTCAGGGTTCGTAAGTTTAGTGTGTAGAAGTGCCAATTTTTTTATATTCGTTAAATTTATACTAGCTGTTAATTTTTGTAGGAAAGTGAGGGTAATAGACGTATCCCGCAATCAAATGACGTAATGTTTAGAGATGATGTAATATACTTGGGCAATAATAAATGTATAAAATTTTTACATTTTATCATTGAAACCCTAAAACATCATCATCTCGTTTACGTTTTAAAAATGCGGGATACGTCTATTCCAGTTGATTTATCGAATGGGGTAAGTATATTTTTAAAAATTTCATATACATCATCACTAAGTGAAAAATTTGTTTTTTATATAACTTTGGCAGATCTACAGTTTTGAAAATTGATTAACCTCTAAAGCAATATACACATAAACCTCTATAAATTTAAAAAGTCCACCTTGCACAAAACACGACGAGGTAATAACTTCGGATGAAAATAAAAAACGGTTATTTCTTGCCTTAAATTAAACAAATCCAAGGAAGCCTTCGGAATATCAGCTGAACATTTAAAGAATGCGAGCTATGAAGCACTAACAGAACGGCTCAGCATTAGCATCATTCCAATCTTTATGAAACTAATAGAATATCTTCCGCGGCATTAGCATCATTCCAATTTTTATGAAACTAATAGAATATCTTATTCTACTAATCTGTCCAAAAATAAAAAAACTTATCATCTTCAATTCGGTTTCACTAAAAAGAGTTCAACCCTACACGATGAACTTGTTATTAGTGAAACAATTAAACACTACAACAACAACAACTCAGCTGTCTATCTCTGTTCACTAGATGCTAAAAAAGCGTTTGACAGCTGCAACTGGGACATTCTGTTTGAGAGACTGTACAATGAAAAAAAACTCCCTCTGTATATTGTAAATACCATATCGTCATTATACTACGAAAGCAGTGCTTCTGTTTCTTATCTGGATTGCAAATCATATCCTTTCTATCTAACGCAAGGAGTGAGACAGGGATCTATTCTCTCGCCTCATTTGTATAACATTTATACTCAAAACCTACTAAAAACCTTACAAAACGAGAGCATTGTAAGTACATCAATCAATGGAAACTATAAGGGTGTTGTAGCATATGCTGATGACATTATACTCCATAGCTCCACCCTTTCTGGCCTACAAAAGCTTATTAATACATGTAATATGAACACACACAAAAACTGCATAAAATTGAATGTTGACAAAACCGAGTTCCTGCTCACCAGAATAAAGCAAATTAAAAACAGCACAATAATTCTCAACCACCAACAAATAAAACTTTATGATAAACTTAGCCATCTAGGCTTTACATAGATACAAAAAGTTCACCTTTTGCCTCACTTAATAAATCAAACATTGATCACCGAATATCTTATTTCCAGGCGGTAATCCAAACCTTAATTTAATTAGGAATCCGTTTTGCTTACCTAAACTCCATTGTTCAGTTATATAAAACTTTAGCTTTATATAACTGGACAAAGAAGTTTGTTGTATAATTATTGATATAAACTGAAGATAAATCAATAGTTATACAACCAAACAAGCTAAACTTATTTATTCGCCTGATGAACAGTAAAATGACATATGATATTATTAAGTCGCAGCTGAAAAACAAAACGGCTCCACAACCTTTTTTAGATAGCATTAAAATTGAAAAATAAAAATAAATCATGCAATTCATTATTAAAACTAATATTTTTATTTTTATTTTTTTTTTTACGCGCTAAATTAATGTAGATCAAAGCTTTCTGTTCATCGCAAAATTTTTAGGTAGACTCAAAAAACATTTTTATTATTTTTAAGGGTCTTTTTCATTTCCGTCTTTCAAATTGCATAAATTTTAAGTTCTTTTTTTTTTAATGTCAGTTCACATTTTTGCTGACATTCTAAATATGCCAAATGCATCATATTATTTTTTCATTAATAAACGATAAAAAATACTTTTCGCTGAACTTATATAAAAGTAATTATTGATTACTTATATATAAATTGAATACTTCGATTCTTTAATATATTTTTCATTAATATTTATCCCTAAATAAGTTTTGTTCATAAAATTTTTATAAAAATAAATTTAAACAAGCAGATTTGGATTTGTTACTATTATTATTATTATATATTTATTAATACATGATAAATATAAAAAATCTTAGAATTTTTTTTTTAACGTGAATAATATCTAGGAATATTTTTTTCAAGAGTGTCCTGGAAGATAGTTCTCTGTTCTTTTGAGTTCCAGCACTCAACTGCACATTTTAGAGTTTTAAGATCCGTATCAGGAATTATATTTTTGAGGCCGATGATTTTTATTTATTTTTTACTTTGCATTATTGTCTCCAGATTTAGTTCATTATTATTGCACAAGCCCTTGATACTGAAACCTAATAATTTATTTTATTAACATTATCTTAGTCTAATAACTTATGTTACTTTCGCAGCTTGCTACCCTAACTTAAAATATTGCATTAATAATATTGCAGCCTGGTGCGTATTTTTGGAGTAATGCAGTTTTCCAAATAGGGGAGAGTTGCCTTGATTGGAACAATTTAGGAATAAATATTTATAAACCAGAGATGGCTTAATTATGAAAACATTTATGATTTGATTAATACAAACAGATCCTTACTATACTTTTAACCACAATTTGACTTAATTGATTGCACTGTAATTGGAAACAAACTTGTTTTTGCAAAGGTACTATTTTGTTCCAATCAAGGCAACTTCCCTAAATTGGAACACTTTAATTCCTTAATCAGAACAGGCTATTTTTTTGAAAGAAAAAATCCAACAAAAATGATTTTTATCTTTACATTTAAAATTTAAACAGTTAATTCAAAACTTATTATTGGATTAGTATTACCCTGACAAACGGGAAAGGGAAGGAAAAAACAATCACGTGGGCATGCGTATTATAAGTTTTAATTTGTCCGAAGTAAAACTGCGCATGCTCACGTGATTATTTTTATCTTTCCTATCCCGTTCCTGTAATAAAACGGATGAGTGGAAACTCACCTTAAAAGTCTACAAACAAAAAATTGTATAAAAGCTTGAACTGTTATGACGTTTTTTCAATTTATCACTAAAGAAATTATTATTTTTACGGTTTATGGTTGTTATTAAGTATTCTTTAATTGCACTCGAACTATTTTTACAACCCTTTGATTTTTTTACTGATTAGGTTAGGAAAACTTTAATCTTCCAATCAAGGAAACTTTGGACTATTTTGTTATTTCAACGCAATAGCATGCATGCAGCAACTTATAAGATAAGTTTATATTGTTATTTTGCATTTCAAATCCCATTGAACTAAACACAAAAACCCGTATAATCTATAGCACCATAGTTTACCCTAGTGTCAACGCAAAATTAAATCACTGAAAAAAATGACGCAAAAAAATTTAAATCAATGGTGCAAACACATTTTTTGAGTTTAAATTAATGGTGCAAACACATTTTTTGAGATTTTTGAGATTTTGAATAACTTTCAAAATATGTCAAAACGTAGAAAATAATGCGTTTTACTAAAAAAAAGTAAAATACAGCCATAATTCTTTTCTGTTTTTTTTTTGTTAAATAAATGCAAGTGTTCCAATTAAGGCGCTGTTCCAATTTCTGCAACTCTACCCTAATTGAATTTCAATGTTCGTTTGATTTAGTTATATGATTTAGACTATGAAGCAACTACAAGTACTACAAAATGAAACAACAATTAGTACAAACACAATTGTTATAAATACAATGAAAATAAAAAGTAATATCTGATGAGCTTTCAACATATTAAAAGCTCTATGATGCTAAAAAAAATTTTTTAATAGATAATAGACACATGTAAAGTGGTTGAAGCGAGTTTTTATTATCTTTTGATGCTGAGTTTTATAAAGAAGCAAACAAGTTTTAAGTAGCGTTTAAAAATTACAAATCGCCATAGCTACATGTTTATAGATCCTATAAGCGCAAATGTCATTACAATTATTTATTACTTATTTAATAAATTTTCTATTGAAAAAGATCATTAATAAATAACTTTTTCCTAAAAACCTCATATTATAAAAGATGAAAAATGTGTTAGGAGCCTTAACAACAAGTTAAATATTAATTTAATTAAATATAAGTATTAATTTAATTAAATGTAACTATTGACA